AAAGTTAAATTTACTTATTGATAGCCTCTAAGATAAAGAAGATTAGAATTATAGAAGAATGCAGTGTTGATTGGTCTTTCCCTTCTTCCTCTAAACTAGCAGCTTTTTTTCCTAATAGGTTAAAATGAAGCTCCATGATTTTTTCATTGTTTTATTTTAATTTTATGTACAGACTTCAATTAAATGGGTTGGTTTTTAGAAGAAAACTGAAAATTCTTTTGAGAATTTTTTTTTTTTTTCATATAAACTAATGAGTCAGGAACAGTAAGTTTTCATTATAGCAAGTTTACAAAAGCAGTCCTAGGACTATAATAGTTTTGACTGTTGACTTATGGCCAGATATTAAATGTATCACTGGGATGTGAATGTTTTATTGTCTTCCTCTGAGTGTCCAAGATAAGATTACAAGTATGAAGCTTGTACCATGGTCATGTGAAAATTCCAGTATGTTTCTAAGTATTCTTCTGTTTATATCAGTTCATGAGACTTTTTTATAGGCATAAATTGGTAGCATGGATGATGCTACAGTCATTTGTTTAGATTATCTGGTAATATAGTTAGGTAGAATATATATAAATTGAGAGTAGGAAAGTTAAAGGAACAATGGTGTTATTTATTTTCCACATGTTTGTTGAATAAATTGGAGGAATTAAGATCAGATGTGTGGTTATGGAGTAGATGATCTTAAGAACAAGGGGAATAATCAGCTTCATGTTGAAATGGGAAATTAGAGTAGTAGTCTTTAGATAGTATCATTCTGTTTTCCTGTTGTACGGCACAGACATAAAGGGAATAAAGTTTTATTTTCTTACTGGGACTGTGTGCCTTGTTACATCAAATCTTGGTTCCTCAGTATATAGAGAGGTAGTAAATTAGTTGTTACCATTTGTCCATCTTACTCTTATTTTTTTAAATTAAAATTTGATTGTAATAAGTGTTTGTATCTTGACCAGGTAGACAATCCTGGAGGTAGAGAGATGGGCAGAAATGGAAGCGGTTCGTATGTGACATGATTAGTCCTGAGCTTATAGAACAAATTAAAAACTGAATAAATGAACTTTTTTGAGAGACAGAAAGTTAATAATGGAGTTAAAATTGGAATAGCCGGTTCATAGTAAAAGGTAAATGTTTAAGTTACATGTAGGTATTTAAAACCTCTAGTAGTATGTTTTTCAACTACCAATAATAATGTTCTGATTGCTATTTGTATTCTAATCTCACCTTTTTCCTCTTAGGTGGTATCATGGAAAACTTGACAGAACTATAGCAGAAGAGCGCCTCAGGCAGGCAGGGAAGTCCGGCAGCTACCTTATAAGAGAGAGTGATCGGAGGCCAGGCTCCTTTGTACTTTCATTCCTTAGCCACACAAATGTTGTCAACCATTTTAGGTAAGTCTTTATTTCTCTTGGGAGACTGTATAATACAGTGATTTTTCTGTAGTGTTCTTAAATATACCTGCTTTAATAAAAGTGAATGATTCGGCAATATTTAAATGATGGGAAAGTGATTTGTTTTCAGTTAAGTGATTGAAACGGATGATTATAGAGTAGATATTATTGAATGCTTACATTTTTTGTTTAAAAACAGATTACTGGGCATTACTATGCTAATCTCAAATATAATTATCACTTTTAAAGTATAAAGAATTATAAAGAAACTTTGGTAAAGCAGATATAAAGGACAATATATTTTTAAATACAGAGTAACCACATTGAGGAAACAGTATTTAAAGAGTCAAGGTGTGTGCCCTTTAATTTATTTTACTTCATTGTTCTGAAATTCTTTGTAATCATTCATGTCAGTTAAAGGTATACAGATTTTTAAGCACAGATATCAAAGTCTGTATAAATACATGTACCTATATTGTCTTTAATTTCATTTTTATGGCAGACATTGGGAAAAAAGTCATATAGTGCCTATACCATTAACTGATAAAATGGTTTATACCCTTGACTTTTAGATTTTATTTATTTATTTATTTATTTATTTATTTATTTATTTTTAAGTTTATTTATGAGAGACAGTGACAGCATGAACAGGGGAAGAACAGAGAGAAAGAGAGTGAGAGAGAGAGGAGTAGAGAGAGAATCCCAAGCAGGCTCTGGGCTGTTAGTGCACAGCCCAACTCTAGGCTTGATCTCACAAATTGACTGAGTGAGTCACCCAGGCGCCCCAATTTTTAGATTTTAAAATGAGTTTTCAAAGTACTTTATACCACACGTAGAATGTGAAATTATTATAATAATTATCTATAAATAAATGTAAATAGTTCTCTATAAATATTTGAAGAGTATATAAAGCTACTTTTAGCCAGAGAAAATTTATTAAAATTGCTATTCAGTCTTAAATATGAAAGGTGAGCAGAGGTATCTATAGTTAGATTTATATTTATTGCAGTAAATTATGTAATGGGTTTATAAGTCAGATAAATATTTTGTATCAAGTATATACATATATGTTTTTAGAAGAAATAACCTCAAGTAAATTTGCATTGGTGAAAATATGAGTAAGTGATACTTTAAAACAGGATGTAGATAAAAGAGTATGAGAATTAGAGATTTAGAATTTCTAAATTTAGAAATTGGTCTCCACATTCGCTCTAAAGATTTTTTTTATACTGTATTTTTTTTTCCTGTACAAATAGGATTATTGCTATGTGTGGCGATTACTACATTGGTGGAAGACGTTTTTCTTCACTGTCAGACCTAATAGGTTATTACAGTCATGTTTCCTGTTTGCTTAAAGGAGAAAAATTGCTTTATCCAGTTGCACCACCAGAGGCAAGTAAAACTTGAATAAAATATTTTTCAAAAATTTATCACTTCACTTTACTAATGAGGTTAGCTCTTGTTCAGTTTTTTATGGTGTTTATTATAATTCAAGAAATACCATATTAAATTTTAATTCTGTTGTATTAGCAAAACTGCCACCTTCTTTAAAAAAATAAAATAATTTTTCTGTAATTTTGTCTTTACGTTTCTAAATTTTTTTTTTTTTTTTATAATACTGTATGGTGATAGCTTAACAAATATTTTTAAAGGAATGAGGAGGAATCACTGATTGTATAGGGCTAATCCTGAAGTTGCCATAAGATTCTGAAATGCCTTCTACCTCATTAGAAAAAGGTTAATTTATATTTTCTGTGTAGTTCATTTAAAATTAAATGGTTACTCCTATTACTTGATACAAACATTGGTTATACAGTTAAAAGAATTTGTAAAAAAGCAGCAACAGAAACAAGACCAGCATTTCTAGGCTTTAGGTATTTATAGCCTGAGTAAAAAATAGTTTGATCCTGTGGTGTTCATAATGTGGATTTTTGTTGGTTTTAACTTTATGTGGACATAACCTGATTTGACTTTGACATGAAGAGATTATTTATCTATTGTAAATCTTTTTTTTTTTTTTTTTTT